GTGTCGTCGTGCTCCGGTCCTCCTGCTTCCCGCCCCGTCCAACAAAGTTTTGTCGAGCCCTGAGCGCGGAGGAAGGCTGCAGGGCAGGGGAGCGTCCTGCTGGCGGCCCCTTCGCTCTCCTCCCTGGCGAAACAGGGGAGTCCCCGGGCCCAGGCACCAAGCAGGGGCTCGACACCCCCACCCCAGATCCACGGTGGGCCCAAAGGTGATGGTAAAACCCAGCTCTGAGCTCTACTTCCAGCATCCTGCGGGAGCGGTTGCCTGCCCCCGTCTCCCCTGCGCCCATCCCCGCGGTCCTAGGGAGAGCTCCGTGACCATGGAGCACCAGTTCTACTCCCCCACCTCCCCGCGGCCTCTTCGATGGAGCTTGGAGGGTTGGAGAGAAAGCTTTGGTTGAGCCCCGTCCCAAAACGTGAGTGACTCAGGGGACAGTGCAGTCTGAACAGAGGATCGGGACTGCGCTGATCCCTCGGCCGGGTCTTCCCCGCTTGCCCCACGGCCCGGCTTTGGCTCTACCAGGGCTGGGACAGAGCAAGGAGGGCCCGAGAGATGCTAAATTTCTGCCGCTCATAGAGCCTGGCACGGCTCTATGAGCGGCACCTCTAAGTGCCACCTTCCTGCCCTCCAGAGGGGTCTTGCAGATTGTATTATCGAAATTTTGTTTTGTTTTAATTAAAAAAAAAAAATCCAAATTCTGGCCTTGCCTGGAGCTGGGAAGGGCACGTCCCGGCTGTTTTCCACAGGGATCCTGCCTCCAACTGGGTTTCTTGGGCTAGAAATTAATACACTGGAGTTTAAAAGAATCAAAATACTATCAAATGCTCTCATTCGCCTTTCCCTCGCATGAAACTCTGCACCCATTCAGGAGGACCCTGTTCCCAGAGGAAACCGTGCTCTGGCTGAGGAGACAGCAGCGCAGACCGGCTCTCCAGACCCCCAAACCCCGGGGGAACCCCAGAAAGCAGCCAGGAGTGCTGGCCCCGGAGGATTCCCAGCCATGCTGAGAGGGGATGTGCCGGAGTCCGACATGCGGGATGGGGTTACCATGCCATTCTCCCCCACCGTGGGAAAAGCTCCTCGCGGCCCCACGCGAGATGATGAGGCAGTCGAAGGAGTCAATGCACCCCGACAGTAACTCAAATTGTGCTTTACAACAGCTTTCGGGGAATCTGATCTCACCTATTTTCCCTCTATCCCGACCGGTACCATCCCCGCTTACCGCAGGCCTGAAACTCACTCAAACTTAGGCTCTTGCCCCGCTCCTGGCCCTGAGTTAGGGCTGCGGGAAGCTTTGGAAGGGAAATAAATAGTCCCCGGGGATGGGCGGGGGTGCCCGGACCCTGCAGCTCCTCCAGGCCCCCGGAGTTCGTTTGCAAACGAAAAGGCCCCGGGAAAGGCGGGTAGTGGGGCACGGAGATGCCTGCCCAGGGGAAGCCGCTCCCCGCTGTCCCGCTCCTGGCAGGGCGTCTGGGGAGGCGGAATTCGTCCCTGACAGGGCCCCGCAAGTCCCATCCCTGCCGGAGCCCTCCGGGATAAACGGCGGCTTCTTCGAGTTTCTCTGCTGGGGAAAGGCTGGGGCCAGCGTTTTCCATCCGAGCCGAGCCGGGCTGGCCAGGGCGCCCTGCCCCTGGCCCCGGCTCCCCCGCCGGGTACGGGCGCTTGGGTCAAACTTATTTTTGGTGCAGCGAAGTTTTTCCCCCACAGAGAGCTGGTTGCGAAGGGAGGAAGGAGAGGGCGATGGATGTGAAACGACCTCCAGAGATGGGCTCTGAAGGGGAGTTCCTCTCCACCCCCTCAGAGCCCCCCGGCCCTTGCCACCCGCTCCCCTAACAGAGCTGGGAGCCGGCGGGAGCCCAACTCCGGGCCGCTGCTTTCCAAGGGAAGCAACAACGAGCGGCGCCCGGCGCTGGGGCAGAAGACACCTGTGGGAACATTTTACCGGTAGTAAGAGAGCAGTGGGACAGGGACCTCGGACCGCGCCGTTCTCCTCCCTCCTCTGGGCTTCACGGCGGGTCCCACCGGGCTCTCTCCGCCTCCCTTCACAGCCCCAAACTTGGGGGTGCTTAAAGACAAAAATAACAGTTATTTCCCAGGTCCCCGGCTCCCCACCGCGGCCCTGTGCAGGATGTGGTGCCAGGATCCCGGCGTTCGCTGTCAGCTGGAGGGCGCAGAGTTCTGCTCCTCTCCGCACTGCTAACAGGGAGCGGTAACGTGTTTAGACCACTTAAACTAGGCAGACATAACTGGGAGCCGTGCATGGCTCAGCTATGCCGGGAAAGGAGGTGTCATTTGTACGCAGTTACTTTGGTGATCAACACTTGAGTGATTTATGCAGCCTGCTTTAATTATATTCCTGTGACATTTTCCTGGACAAAAGCGAGCCGCGCACAGCGAAAGCCAGGCAGCCCTGGCGGCTGCCCGCCATGTCCTGGACGGCTTCTGGAGAGGAGGGGGGGGGGGGAGGACCCTGACGATACCCCGAAATACGACTGGGGGGGCGAAAAGGGGAGGCGCCTCCAAAGATGCTGCTCCTAGCCGACAGGGTTTTTTGGCTCCCCAACCCTTGGTAGTTTCAGGTGCAGCGGTACTTCTCTGCTCCGAGGAGGAGGAAAGGCCGAGGCTTTACTGGCTTTCCGGAAGAAAAGCAGGTGAAAGGCAGGGACCCGGAGCGACACTTCCCCGACTGCCCCGGGGGACGCCCCATGAGTCCCCAAGTACAGCGGGGGGCCGCCATTCCCTCCAGCCTTGCTCCCCTCCGTGCTTCTTGGCCGGGGACCCTACCCAAACTTTTCCTGTCTGCACCGAGAGGGGCTCAGTGCCAGGCCCCCTCTCAGTTGAGCTGGAGCTGGCAGAAATGGAGGGTTAGGGGTGTTAAAGCTTTTCGGATGTGGGTGGTTTTGCCCAGAAGACCTCAAATCTGGGATGCACCACCCCTCAGCTTCCTCCCTGCGGGACAGGAAAGGACGGCTCTCCCCTGGGATGCGAAGTTATGTGGTGGGGGCAAGAGCAGGCCTCCGGTGCCCCCAGTGCCCTCTAGCTCCCAGATGCTCTTGGAAGAGGGCATGCTTTCTTGGGAGGGAGATGCGATGCTACTGCCGCGGGGCACCGAGGGTCCCTAATTCCGGGCAGGGTGCAAGCGGGCTGCCAAAAAAAGGAGTTAAAATAATTAAATTCCGAAGGGTGCTGAGGGGGATGCTGAGCTCTTCCCTCAAACCAGGGCGGGGGTAACCCAGCCCGCCCCTCCTCTGATTTTTGGCCACCCCAGGAGCGCAGAGAAAGAGTCGTTTGCGACGAGCGACTTGCAGCAAAGGCAAAGTGAGCGCAGGGAAAACAAATCCAAATCCACCGAAGGCACCAAGGAGCAGCTGAAAGCACAGCGGAGAGGGGTCGGTGGGACCCCGCTGGGTCACCCATAGAGCCCCAAGAGGTGGGGGGAAACGATGGGTGTCGGGACCTACCCCCTTCCCTTTCAGCCACCCCTCTTCCCAATGAGGTGCTGCGTGGGAGACACGTTGAGCACAAGGGAAGGCGGCAGACCCGGAGATACCGGGCTGAGCTACTCAGGCAAGGCATGAACCCTTCTGTCCCCTGCCAGGCAGCTACCGAGGCAAACGAATAATGGTCCCCCGATGCCGGGGAGCCTGTCCCGGGGCTTCTGCCCGGGGTCTCTGCCCCTGCCAGGGACTCTGTCCCTGCCAGGGAGTCAAAATAAAGCGGAGTTCATGTAAAGCCCTGTCCCCCCGCTCAAGCAGATAAGATGCGGGCTGGGGGGGACGGGGACGGGGGGGGGCGGGGAACGGCATCGGAACTGTTTTCGGGGCTTCTCTGTTCTCAGCACCGGGTTTGTCCCTGTCCCAAGCAGAGCGGGGACGGCGGTCGGTCTGGAGCTCGGGACGGCAGAGCCCCGGCGCATCCCAAGCGGCCTCCCGAACTCTCTTCTACGAAAGAGACTGTTTTTCTCCCCTCTCTCCTTTTTCTTTTTTTCCCTCCATTTTTTCTCTTCTTTTTCTCTTAAAAAAATAATAAATCTCATTTTCTCTTTTTCTTGTGTGTGTGTTTTTGGTTTTTTTTTAATCTTATTTCTGTAATTATAACACCAGCATCCCCGGCTGAGTTCTCAATAAAACCCGGATCCTGACATAAAACGCCACGCTGGAAAATAATGCGAGGGGACACCAGGGAGAGGAGGAAAGTCTCTAATTGGTTAAAATATGTTTAAATCACTTCATAAAACCCAAGCAAAGCGAAGCAAATAATCCACCTAGCAAAGCAAAGAAGCCGGGCGATTTAGAATCAGTGTAATTCGCTCCCCCCCCCCCCCCCCCCCAGCTCCCCCCCAGCTCCTCGCAGTATTTGATATGATGAATAACCCAATATAGGCCTTTAAAAATAGGTCACTGCATAAAGAGACTCCCAGAGAGCTATAAAAAATAGGAAGAGGGCGCTTTAAGGAGAGGAGCCATTTGCTTCTTTTGTGCTTGTTTGGTACCTAGCGGCCTGGGAGCTGCCAGTCGCCCTCGTCCTGCCCATCAAGGTGAGGAGGCAAAGTTAGGGCCGAAGCCGGCCCCGGCCGTTCCTCCCGACCCACGGCGCCGTCGTGCGCCCGCCGCAGCCGCTAGCCCCGTCCAGCCCCATCCCGGCCCTCGGTGAGCAGGGGGTGCCCCCGTGCAGGTCACGCCGATCACCCCCCGGTTCAGGGCTTTGTCGCCCGCCCTGCAGAGCGGTGACACAGAAGCGGTCTGGTGGCCCGGGTAAAAATAATCGTGAGACGTTCTGGCTCCACAGAGAGCCGGGCCGGACCGGGCCCGCTTCCCCCGGGGTTGGGGGCTCACCAAGCCTCGCCGCCGCGGACCCCTTCCCAGAAGCTCGCAGCAAAAGGCCCCGGGCTGGAAACACCCCGGTGGAACCCGGCCGCTGCCTGCCCCTTGTGCGCGCTTCCCCGGTCGGGACCGCCCGCCAGATCCGGCATTAACGAAGCCGAAGAAGCCGCCGATATCCCGCGCCCCGCCGTGCAGCCCCTCCGATGGCATCCCCGGCAGCGGAACCCTCCGGTGGGCGCCCTGCCCTGCCGCCGAGCTGCACCCGGCCCTGTCCCGCAGCCCTCCCCGGCACAGGGCCCTGCGAAAGAGGAGCACGACAAATTCGGCGGAAACCTTCGGATTTTATTGGAAAGGAAAGGTCTGCCTTACCTGGAACCAGGTTCTCCCCTTCTTCCCCTCATTAAAAAAAATTAAACGGCTCTGGGTTGAGCCGAACAGAGACATTTAAAATAACGGAGTAGCCAAATTAACAGGAGGTAAAAATAGATGAAAAAATCAAAATCTTAGGGGCAAGAAAGAAAAAAAAGATACCGCCGGATATTTTTCGTTTTGTTTTTTTTTCGCTTATTCTTATTTTTCACTATACTGTGTTATCCTGATGCAATAAAGGCTGCTTTGTAATGTAATTTAAAAATATATATGTCCAAACAAATAGCAGGGCCAGAATATGACAAGTGCATTCAGCATTATAATTCAAGTGGGCTCCACCTCCATACCGCCTCCTAATTAATGGGTCTCCGAACTTGCAAAAGCCTGCATTGGACAGAGAGGGAGAGAGAGAGGGAGCGAGAGAGAGAGAGGGCGAAAAGTGTCATTGAAGATAATTGATTACCTCCCAATCAACAATAACTTGTTAGCAATAGTCAATTACCCCGTCTCTTCTCGTCTCTTTCCCCCTGGTCCGAAGGCTCGGTGCGAGGGCTGCTCTCCCCCTCTCCGAAGTCTGCTTTTGAATTTTTGTCTTTTTTTCCTTCCTTTTTTTTTTTTCTTTCTTTTAATTATTTGGAGGGGTATTCGCTTGGGGGGGGGGGGGGGGGGGGCAGGGAAAGTGCTGTGATTTGGGGTGTTTCTTAAAATAGCAGCTGGGAAGAGGAAGAGAGAGGAGAGCGCGAGCGAGAGGAGAGAGAGAGGGAAAAAAAGATCCCCGACCCAAAACCCTGGGACAGGAGGTGCGGCAGGACCACCTCCTGGCGAGGGACCGACGGCAGCTCCGCTCCCGGCCGCAGCCCGCCGCCCTGCCCGCCACCCGACGTGGCTCTCCCCGGGAGGACCCGGGACTCCTCCGCCGGAGTTGGAGGTGGGCTTCAACTTTTGCTCGCTGTCTCCGTCGCCCCGCGGTCCCGCCGGGGGCTTCTCCCCGCGGCAGCGCATCCCCGTCGCAGGTGGGGAAGGCAGCCCCGCGTGGCCCGGCCCCACCATGACTTCCAAAGAAGAACCCAAGCCCTCCTCGGGGGAAGAACGGCGGCGGAGCCCCTTGGATCACCTCCCGCCGCCGGCCAACTCCAACAAGCCCCTCACCCCCTTCAGCATCGAGGACATCCTCAACAAGCCCTCGGTGCGGAGGAGTTACACGCTCTGCGGAACGGCCCACCTCCTCTCCGCCGCCGAAAAGCATGCCCCGGCCGGGCTGCCGCTCTCCGGCCGGGCGCTGCTCTCTCAAACCTCCCCCCTCTGCGCCCTGGAAGAGCTGGCCAGCAAGACCTTCAAGGGGCTGGAAGTCAGCGTACTGCAGGCGGCCGAAGGTAAGCCTCTCTCGGGGTGTGGGGGCATCTTCCCGCGGGTGGGTACCCCGCTCATCCCCACGGCCTGTTTTTCCTTCCCCCCTTCCCAATCTCACTGGGTGTCGCATGGGGTGGGACGAGGGGTACGCCCGGGCGGACAGTACCCGGCAGCATCTTTCCCACTGCGGGCCTCGGACTGCGGGAGCGGTGGCTCTGCCCAGCTGCCCCCATCCCCCTTCCCCGGCACAGACGGAGCAGGGGAGTGGGGTGTAGGGGGCTCAGGGTTGGAGGGATGTGGGGAAAGCGGCGACAATCTGGCGACTCGTCGGCAGGCAGGGACGGGATGACGATCTTCGGGCAGAGACAAACGCCGAAGAAGCGTCGAAAGTCGCGGACGGCCTTCACCAACCACCAGATCTACGAGCTGGAGAAGCGGTTCCTCTACCAAAAATATCTGTCGCCGGCGGACCGGGACCAGATCGCCCAGCAGCTGGGGCTCACCAACGCCCAGGTCATCACCTGGTTCCAGAACCGCCGCGCCAAGCTCAAGCGAGACCTGGAGGAGATGAAGGCCGATGTGGAATCGGCCAAAAAGCTGGGCCCCAACCCCGCCGTGGACATCGTAGCCTTGGCCGAGCTGGAGCCCAGCGCCGAGGGAAGGGGCAAGGCGCGGACCGGTTCCCCGCCACCACCTCCTGCCGCCGCCCGGGAGCCCGGAGCCCCGCCGCCGCCCCGCCCCACCTCGCCCCCCACGGAGCGGCCCCGCAGCCGCCGGGACAGCGAGGAGGAGGAGGACGAGGAGGAGGAGGACGTGGAGATCGACGTGGATGACTGAGGGGCTGCCGGCGGGGTTCCCCCCTACCCCACTACCAAGCACCCCCCCCCAGCCCTGTCTTGCCCACCCTCCCCCTCCAGCCCCAGATTGGCACCCCCGGCCCCCCAGCCCGGCCCCGGCAGCGCGGCGAGGCGGCTGCTCCCGTCGGTCGGAGCAATAAGCAATAGAAACCCACCATACACACACTCACACAACCACGAATTAATTTAGGGTAGAGTCGATATCCCTCCGCCTGTCACATCTTCGGAATGGTGCAATTACGGACGGCTTCTGTATAAATATTTAAACGTATATATTGTTTTTCCTTCCCCCCCCCCCCCTTCTTTTTGAGGCTTTGATTTTTATTTTTTTTTAATAGCTACCAATGACATTATTTTGTCTGTAAGGGAGATGAGTAACCTTGGAATAAACTCGGCTTCTTTGGGTAGGCAGTTGCTTTCAAAGACTTCCGAAACGAACCACTTTAGGGAAGATTTAAGTTAGACTCAAAACGGCAACAGCAAAAATTAGCCACTTGCCTTTCCTTGCATGTTTCAGATGTGCACGAAGTGATTATTATTTTTTCCTTCTAAAAACATTTTTTTTTCGCAATCTTGGGAACTTGGGGATGGGTTATAATGCAAGCTGAAAACAATATATACTTTCTTTTTTTCCTAGAGCATAGAGATTTGTCTCCAATGCAATTTCTGCCTCATTTTACCAATTAAAAGCTATTTTTACCATTTTCTGCTATTGTTGTGCTTTTATTAAAAAGCTGCCTTTCGTATTTTTGATATGAAGGTGGTAACAAAAAAAAAAATAGAAAGAAAATGAAAAAAAAATCCTAGAATTATTTTTTACTCTTTTTAGAATTTTTGCATGCTATGGAAATAAAAAAAAGGACAAATCCCAAGATCAATACATTTAAATATTACACTATAAATTAAATATATGTACAGATTTAAGACCTGTTTTTGTTTGAATTGTACAAATTTTAAAAGGCCTGCTATTTAAGTTCCGATAGGGACAATGTCGCTTTATTTACTGTCTCTTAGAATTGTACAGATAGCTCTTTTTTCCGATACAATAAAATCTTTACCATTTTAATAGACTTTTAACGTCCTTCTTTGCGAACGACCAACCGCTCTGCCGGCCCGAGGTTCTGCCAGACTCTTCCCCACACCAGGAAGCTCCCATCCCGTTTGCCTTTAAAGTTACTTTAACGGCGGGACCTGGAAGAACATGACGGGGGAGGAGCACGGGACCGAGATCTTTAGGAGATTTTTTGTGGTTGTTGGTTAGGTTGGTGCTAGGGAGCGGTTTGGCAGAGGCGGAACACAGCGGAACGGGAGGGCAGGAGGTGCGGGAGGCGCTTCCCGGGGCGGAGGATGCGCGGCGGCTGCGGGACAGCTGCGGGGGTACCTGGGCTACCGGGGCCATCGGCCCTCCCAGCAGCTCCCGTCTCCAGCAGGGTATTTCCAGCCCGGAATTAGAAAGGAAATAGTGGTGGTGTGGGGATAAATAAAGAAAACCCAAATGCGAACGAGGGGAAGGAGTTACCATCGTTCTGAACAAAAGGAGCGGTGAGGGGCACGGGGGGCGGACCTCCCGTTCTGGCCAAAACTGCTGCTCCGGGGACAGAAGGGTGGCAAATGCTTCATTTCCTCCCGTTCCTTTTATATTTTCTCCCCTCTTTTTTCTCCTGTCTCTCCTTTTTTTTTTTTCTTTTCTCCAAAATCACTGCTCTGGTGAATGTGTTTTCCCCTGGCAGCGTGACCTGCCCTTGGAGCCGAACAACGTGTGTTTCTCCCTATTCTTTGCAAAAAATTTATGTGAGAAAGACAAATCTGGTGTACAGTGGCAGAGCTCAGCGGAGAAGTGTCCGGATAAGACAGGCTTGGTTTGTGGGTTGGATTTTCCCTTTTTTTTTTTTTGGTCCAGTTTCTCCGAGGCTAAATAAATCTTTCTCCTCTTTGAGAATGGATGGGGTTGTAATTTTTAGCGTAAAGCATGAAAACTGGGGACAAATGAGCCCTCTTCTCTGAAGTGACAAGCGACAATGGAGCATATACAGCCTCCTGCGGTTCGCCATGCTGAAACAAGCGTGCCCCTCCGCAGCAGAGAGAAGGCGAGCGCTTGGAGACCATATGGTTTTTGAATTTTCTTCACAATTTCCAGACAATTTGATGGATTAGGTTAACCCTCCCTTCCACTGTTTAACTCCACAACAATGGGAGCAGAGCTGTTCTCCCTTCGTCGGGGCATCTGTGCGCTTCTATTCTTCTCTCTTTCTCTCTTGGTATTTGGAACAAGCCTATGAATTACAATGAAATTCACTTTTCTTTAGTATTATTTGGAAGAGCACTTGTTTTCCGCCACCTCCCGCCCCCACCTCTCCATCCCTTCTTTGTTTTGTTTGTTTTTTGGGCGGTTGGCTTTTTTTCTTACCTCCGAGTGATAGCTTTGACTTCTGTCCAGATCTCTCGGAAAGCCTTCAATCTTGTCCTTAAGTGTTTTTATGCTAAACAGCCAAATCGTAAATGCTGAGAAACTGTGACATTTATGTGAAGATCTAGTTAAAGGGCTTTATTTGTTTTCTTTATCTGTTCTTCTTTTTCTCCCCCCCCCCCCCTTCCCTCTCCTCTTCCCCCTCCTCTCCTGTCCCCTCCCTCCCCCCCAGTCTTTTCTTCTTTTGTCTTGGAATGGATTTAATGAGGCTGCAAACACTACAATTCAATATAACCACGAAATAAAAAAAAAAAAAAGGAAGAAAAGGGGTGGCTGGGTGTATGGAAAACAGGCTTGGAGTTAATTTGGATTTCTGATCTATTGACTTCTGTGTGTACAGAGAAGAGATGCCGGGCCGCCGTGCACCCTCAGAACTTTACCACACGTGGCTGGGGCGGGTTAGTAAATAAAGCCTCCTCTCGAAGATTTGCAGCTTGCTCGCTTTGGCTCACCCCCATTTCCAAATAGCTGGGATTTGGGTTATTTAATTGCATATTGAAAAACAAAAAGCCCTTTTATTTTATTTTTTTTTTTTGCCTTCCCCCCCCCTTCCCCCCCACTAGCTTAAGAAGGAAGCTCCGGCTTGTGCCCCTCATTTGTCATGCGTTTTGAAACTCGCCGTTTCCTGGATTATCGCTGGGTAGATATATCGCTTTCCTTCGATTTCAGGTACAAACCGGAATTGGCTTTTTTTCACCTTTATCTTTAATTTCTCTCTTCTCTCTCTGTGTTTCCACCCCAAGGCAGCAGGGACCTCGCTGTATCGCGCCCTTTGGGACTGACCCAGTCGCAGCCCTTCCAGCCGGCTCCGAATGCTGCTTTTGGGGCCGGGCCCCGGGCCGCGGGAAGAGTCCTCACTGACCCTCCCATGCCCACCCCAGACCCCCAAATTAGCCTGCTCCCCTAAATCAGCCGGCCCTGAGGCCGCGGGACCCGACCTGTCTGCCGTCTGCCACAGAGAAAGGAGAGGCTGGGTCAAGACCCCAGGGACTTGCTGTTCGGGGGCATCCGGGCCAGCGGCCGCCTTGCCCGGCCTTCTCCTTGTCCCTCATGCTTGGATTCAGAGCGGGGACAGAGCTGGTCCCGTTTTCCCATCCCCGAGCACCACCAGAAGCGTTTCGGAGCTCCTCGCCCCCGGCCCGGTGCTCCATACCCCAGGGATTGGCTCCCCTCCACACCCTGTAGGGAGGTGAGCACGGGGCAGGGGAAGGCAACAGCCTTTCCCAAACGGATCAGACTGAAAAGGATTAGGATTCAAGCGGCGAAGGTTGGATTACCGACGGGAAAAATAAAGGCATAAACCCGGGCAAGGAGGGCTGCGAAATCCCGCCGGAT